TTTAACAAATAATGCGAGTAAATTGGGAAATGAAGGACCTGTGTTAAAATGACGGGTCCTCCTTGAGATGCAAATAACTCAGCATCCTTCAACTTCTGCACTATGAATCTCGTCCATTTCTCCATTTCTTTCTGCATGAAAAGTCCAAATGCCATTAGTCCAGAACTGTACATGCATATCCTTGTTACAGCCATGGATAGGGAATTCCTTGATTACCTTGTACGGATCATTGTTTGCCCGGAATATTATGTGGTCGATCTCTCTAAGCCAATAAGGCAGACCACTGGAAGAAAGTAGAGAAAATGGCATAGAAGAAGCACAAAACAATCAGATCGATATGAGCATACTTGACAGAAGAGTGGTAATTAGTTGGACGCACTGACCCATGGTTCCATTCTGCCTGGATGAAGGGCCCGATGCGCACAATTGCATACATGTCATGCTCCTGGATCATCTTGAGGAACTTGACCAAGTCGAGCCTGCCTTCAAAATTGTACTGCAAGGCATGCAACAGAGGAGCTACATTTACATCTATTTGTCGGTCTAATACAGTATACAACAGAAGAGAGATTCAGGACGTCATGCTCCTTAATTTTGCTGCGGTTGGTTGCCAACGCGTCCATCTGAATATATGTCCTTTACCTTGCCAGGCTCAGGCTCGTGTGCATTCCAGAATATGTACGTCTCGATCGTGTTGAGGCCGCCCTCCTTGGCCCGCTCGAGCAGCTTCGGCCACACCTGCATTACAACAGTACATTTCCAGGATCAACCAACCAGCCGACCGGCAGCAGTACGCCGCGACTGCATTTCGTTCGGTTCATCAGCTAGGGAGTCGCGCGCGTGGGAGCGTACCTCAGGCGGGCTCCTGGGGTAGTGGATGGCGCCGGAGAAGAAGAGGTCCCGCTTGCCGTCGATCATGAGAGACCGCGCATCGTAGGTGACGACGCTGCCCTTCTTCGTGAGGGTCCACTCCGCCGCCGCCCATCCCGGGAGGAGGAGCGCGAGCGCGGCGGCGGCCACCAGCACGGCCGCGGCCCGGACGGTCATGTGAGCCGGAATTGCGGGAACGACAGGGGAGGGTGGAACGGGAGGCGAAGGGCAGGCTGGAGAGGGGAGGCGACGCTAGCGAGGGGTCGGGGGAGGAGGTGACCGCTTTGAAGGGGACGGGCTCGCGGAGCGTTGCGGTGGAGCGGACGCGCGGAAATGGAGGAGCTGCGAGTGGAGGTGGACGACCGCGGGGCGCTGCTTGGTCGGACATCGCGGCAAAAGCTTGCGAGCGGACGACCGGTTCGCGGAACGGCGAGCGGGGTGGGAGACGGTCGGTGTTCGTGCGCTGGTTTTGCGCAGGGGTCGGGACGGGAGGTGTGTCTGGAGTCTACTCTGGACCGTAATGGCCATGGCCAACTTGTGCTTTATACATAGCAATGCTCGGCCTTCATAAGACCTGATCTTAAGAACAACCTCAACAAATAAAACACTATGCTTCTGCTCAAAAAATAATAATAAAACACTATGCTTTATGCAAGGATCGTAGCTACCCCCTCAAATAAAAAAGGATCGTAGCTACACTTTTCACCCACAAAATCACTTAGAACATCTGTATTGTGCCTTGTTGGAGGGTCCGATTTCGTTGTCAGATGGTCCGTTAATCATTTAAAACCCTATGCAAAAACTTTTTAGAATTTTTGTGAAGTCCGTCAAACCATGTCGAACGCCCCGATAAATTCATCTCCCTAGTCCCAAGAAGGCCTTTCTTGTACACGGGTTATCGGACAAGCAACCCTCGTTTGAATGATAGTCTGATAATACTGGCACTTGGTTCTTCTTGCTGAGCCAAGTCCTATAATTACTGGATAGTTTGTCGAACCTCGTCGGACAATCCGATTAATTCCTCATCCCAAGCAGCCCAGAGGGCTGAAAACATGCCCAAGTTACCATAGGTCGGTCCTCACTTAGCTCAACATTTAGAGTTTCCAGGGATGGTCCGAATTCTTCGGAATGTTCCGTGACCCTGATGCAATGGTCTGAGGGTTACCAGACACTTTGACGCCACTTAACGGACAGTCTGATAACACCTTAACCGCACTGTCTACGCTATAGTACCTATGTGGTGTACATATAGTACTATGTTCTATACTCATACTCAATCATACTCACAAAGAAGTGCAGGGTTATACCCACGCGAAGGAGGGGGAAATGGGATCGGAAGGGGTGGATAAAGGAAAGGAAAAGAAAAATATTTGATCACTAGATGCTCCACATGTTAGGGGAGATATATCATGGCCTTAAGTAAGAGAAGGGGCCAGAACCTTGGAAAATGTAGTGATGCTCTTCTAATATTTTTTTTCCAAGTGACGTATTATCGTTTTACAGGAGGTGCTTTGGAGGATTTTTCTTGAAGTCTAAAAGGTTATTATGGCGGTCCTTAACAAAAAAAACTATGAAATAGTTTCTATATCTACCAAGCCATATATATACACTACATATAAAAAATATATTTTCGATGGAGATCTTCAAAATGAATTTGTTTGATCATGTGTCTTTCCTCTTCTATTATCTATCTATCACATCTATTTATATCTTGGCCAAGCTTCTCGCGGTGTGGGCAGTTAGAGCAGTGAGCTTTGGAACTCTCCCGTCCGACCTGAGTTCGAAGCCTGGCACCTTTTTTATTTCAAAGACATAGGGGAAGTCATCTCCTATGGCCTAGTTTTTTTATATCTTGGTTTCCATATAGTATAGTTTTGTCGGGTATCGATATTACGGATACCCAAAGCAAAAGAGTTAGCGCCCACACTGACTCCCCTGGATAGAGCAAGATGTATTAACATGTCTCGACCCCTTGGGTACGAGCTCCGTCTCGCCTGACTCCAAGGACGTAGTTTCCGTCTCGCCCAAGGCCGTGGGCTCCGTCTCGCCCGACCCTTGGGTGCGTGCTCCGTCCCGTCCGACCCCAAGGGTCGCGGGACTCCGTCTCGTCCGACCCCGAGGCCACGGGGTCTCATTCAAAGCCTCGTAGGCTCCGTCTTGCCCGCCCCCGAGGCCGCGGGCTCCGTCTTGCCCAACCCCAAGGACGTAGTTTTCATCTCGCCCGACCCCGAGGCCGCGGGGGTCTCGCCCAAGGCCGCGGGCTCCGTCTTGCTCGACCCTTGGGTGCGTGCTCCGTCTCGTTCTCCCCCAAGGGTCGCGGGCTCCGTCTCGCCCGACGGGGACCCATATCACCGCCAACCACTCCAGATCCAGACGTATGGCCCTGGGTCAAAACTCTGACATCAGGGAAGAGACGGGCACGACTCGATGTAACCCGAGGCCATGACGGGCCATACCTGAGGATTCACATCAAGAACAAAGACGGGCGCAGGCGTCTGCGTCGCTTCGCTTAACCTCATCGAATCGGCGACGGTAGCGCGTCGATTCACCACGACATCCACCGAGACGGGATGGAACACCATGACCGGCAGATGACGCCTGCGCATGGCGCCAGTGACGGACAGGGCCGCGACGTGGAACCGTCCCTATTGATATCTACAGGATCAGCGGGACCCGCATGAAGAAGAAGAAGGACCCGGGATCCTAAAAGCCTTTCTCTCTCTCGTTCTTCTCTTTTTCCTCCGCTGTAACCCGCGCTTTCCCTTGGTCTATAAAAGGGAAAGCAGGACGCCCCATGAAGGGGATGGGGATCCAGATCCGCACAAGACCGAACCACGAGATAAAAACACAAGAGCACGACACAAGCACACGGTTGAGCGACGATCGAGCTTCTCTGCACCCGTTCATTCCTTTCACCAGAAACTTAGGACCCTTTTCCTCTCTCGCCTGTTTGTAACCCCTACTGCAAATCAAGTGCCGGTAACACGAGCAACAGCAAACTGGACGTAGGGACGTTCCGTCCGAACTAGTATAAACCCTTGTGTCCTCCGAGCATACCATTCGAGTCAGACGCGCAAATATAAATTTACTCGTCGGTGGTCCGAAAACACCGACAAGTTTCTTATTTACAAAAAACACTTTTTTCCTTTCTTTCTTAATTTCAATGCTATGTCACTATTTTACTTAGTTGTTACTATGAGTAATGTTCATAGACCATCCTAATTTCTACTCCCTTCGTCTTAAATTATAGCTGATTTTAATTTTTTTGAAGAGTCAAAGCATTTAAGTTTGACCAAATTTATACAATAAAACAATATATTTATAATATCAAATTAGTATCATTATATTCTTCATTAATTATATTATACCTATTTGATGTCATAAATCTTTATAATCTTTCTATAACTTTGATCAAACTTAAGATTATTTAATTCTTCAAAGAATGTTGCAATGACATATAATTTGAAACAGGGGCAGAGCTAGACCAAATGTGAGGGGTGTGTTTGTTTTTTAGCTGCATAGAATTTTACCATAGATGTGAATATGATGAAAATTTGATCATAATTATTTTTTTATATCTATGGGTGCACCCGCACCGTACATAGATCCGCCTTCGAAACGGAGGGAACGTTGACCGGCTCCACTTTCAGTCACACAGAGCCGCCGTTGGCACCTTGGCCAACCATCCCGCCACGTCGACTCACCTTCCCCTGTGGCCGCACCATCCCAACCCACCAACCGCAGTACCATCTCAGCCGTCCATTCATAATGCCAACTGCCCAGATCGATCCGTCTCACTCATCACCGTGCTCCTCGCCCACCTACCACGCCACACCCGCCTCAAATCCCCAGCTCGGACCCTCGGAAACAAACAACCACCGACTACACCACCACATTGCCGTCACCGTCACCGCCGCCGCCGCTTCCCCAGCTATCTCATGGCGGCCTCCGCGTCCTCCCTCCTTGCAGCCGCCGCATCCTCATCCTGCGCGGCTATCTCTCCCCGGCTCCCTCCTGGAGCTCCGGCCGCCGCCTCCGTCCCCTCGCCGTCGCGTCACTCCTGCTATTCCCTCCGCGCTTCCCCTGCGAGGCGCCATCGGAGCCGCTTCGTAGCCAGCGCCGCTCCCACGATGCAGCCTCCGGCGGAGTCCAGGGTCTCCACGGTAGTCGATGTCGACCTCGGCGACCGTAGCTATCCGATCTACATCGGCGCAGGCCTCCTCGACGAGCCGGACCTGCTGCAGAGGTAGTGAAATTATACATTTTTTTCCTCGACTGATAGACTGGAGTGGTTAGTCTGTGATCCTTATTTCTGTTTGCGCAGGCATGTTCATGGTAAGAGGGTTCTGGTGGTGACCAACGCGACCGTCGCGCCGCTTTACCTGGAAAAGGTGACATGGGCACTCACCCACAACAACCCGAATGTGTCAGTGGAGAGCGTGATCCTGCCCGACGGCGAAAAGTACAAAGATATGGTGAGCTCGCTTGTGTTTTCCTGCGTGTCGTGTGAAGGCGTTTGTTTTTTAGTTCGTATAGATTTAACTGACTGCCTGACTTGGCTGTGATCGTCAGGACACGCTGATGAAGGTCTTTGACAAGGCAGTCAAGTCCCGGTTTGACCGCCGGTGCACATTTGTAGCACTGGGTGGTGGCGTCATTGGGGACATGTGTGGGTTTGCAGCTGCTGCATTCCTCCGGGGCGTCAATTTCATACAGATACCAACTACTCTAATGGCCCAGGTCATAAGCTTGATTTATGGTTCCCTAAAGTTGGGTTACATATAAGTCTGGTTCTGATGTTGCTCGGATGACTGCTTTAGGTGGATTCATCTGTTGGTGGGAAAACCGGGATTAACCACCCACTAGGGAAGAACTTGATTGGGGCATTCTACCAGCCACAATGTGTTCTAATTGACACAGATACACTGAACACATTGCCTGACAGGGAGCTAGCTTCAGGCATCGCCGAGGTAGTAAAGTATGGGCTCATAAGGGATGCACCATTCTTTGAGTGGCAAGAGAAGAACATGCCGAAATTGTTAGCAAGGTATTCAATTCAACCTGTTCCTGTGTGCATTAATGCTATCGTATTTATATTCAATGAGTTGTAGACACTAGACAGCAGTTTATGACTTAGACACTGGTCCTAGAGTGCAAGGGATGTGTAGTCACCTCAACATCCAATCTTCTGTTCTACCTAATCTTGTTTGCAATTCAAGAAATTGTTCACTTCTCACTTTGAAATATTCGGAGGAATACCCATTTCTGTGTATTTATATTTCCTGAAATGGCTAATTGCTGAGTGGTATGACCAAATGAAAGAACATGGTTATCCGAATTTTGTGAAGTTCCCCAACTTCTGAATGGACGTTGTATGAAAAGTCAATTTTGTTATTGATAAACTGTCAGTTTTGTTTTACTTTGCCCATGCTACGTAGATTGATCTTGTTCTCTGTTACTCCTAGTAGCTGTGAAAGATGTTTAGCGAACTGCAATTAGGAAGAAATTTTGCACTCTACTAGTAGTCTAGTTTAGCCCTTACAATAGCATTACATAATTGCTGAACTTTCACTTGTTGAGAAAATGTGAATGTAGTAATTAATTTTTCATCTTGCTGTTAACGTTGAGCTTGAAATGTATATCTGTAGAGAACCAAATGCTTTGGCCTATGCTATCAAGAGATCATGTGAAAACAAAGCTGAAGTGGTTGCACAAGATGAGAAGGAAAGTGGTTTACGAGCAACACTAAACCTGGGTCACACATTTGGCCATGTATGTGTTATCATGTTTGTATTTTTATGTGTGATTAATTTTTACTGACATTAATACGTTTCGGGTGCAACAACCTCAAACACCTTTATCACATCAGAATTTATCAGAATTTTAGCAACCTTATGTTATTGTAATGCACCAACTGTATACTGATCCTCACAGTTATTTGTCAGGCTATCGAGACTGGGCTTGGATATGGTGCATGGCTCCATGGGGAGGCTGTCGCAGCTGGAACAGTAAATCACTTGAAAATGATTATACAGTCTCTTAGTATTTTGTAGTGTTGTTTTCTTATCTTTTGCTTATGTTTTCGGGGTGGAACTACCCTAGGTTATGGCAGCTGATATGTCTTACCGCCTGGGGTGGATAGATGAGTCCCTAAAAAATCGTGTGGTTGACATACTAAAGCAAGCCAAGCTTCCCATTGCACCTCCAGAGGCCATGACCGTGGAGAAGTTTAAAAACATCATGGCTGTAAGTACCTTGAGATTGCCAGCAGCATTTTAATTAGCACTAAGACAGTTTTTTGCAATTGCACAGAGTACCATGTTCTTGCCGGACTTGCAAATTGTTAATTTGTGCTTCCGTTGCATTATTGTAGAGCACTTAGAATATTCAGGTTTGCATCTTTTTTTCTATAAAAAAACACTCTTACTGGATTCATGTATGACGCATCAGGTTGACAAGAAGGTAGCTGATGGTCTGTTGAGACTCATCCTTCTGAAAGGACCACTAGGGTGCTGTGTCTTTACTGGGGATTATGATCGGAATGCACTCGATGAAACCCTTCATGCATTCTGCGACAACTGATCCATCTCAGTTTTGGACTTCACTTCTGTATGATAGTACTAGGTTATGTATCAATCAGAGAAAAGATTGCGATGTACATTATCTGCATTGCCCCATTGGTATATTTTTGTCAGAAATAATGGTATAATTGTTTATGTGTTGGTTTGAGTTTGTAGAGAAGCATGGCTAATCAACTGTGATTAGATGTTCTCTAGTAATAAATAAAGAAGCTTCCCTACATCCATTTCTGTAGATTCTGTCACTGTCAGGTGACAATACTCTCGTAACGGTTTAAACCTGTTTTTGTGTCAATCAAATCATTAATACATCCCTTCTAAATTATAATAGTTCACTTTGGCTTTGTCCTTGGTGAAACCTCTCTTGCTTTGACCAAGTTTAATAAAAAATATATTAACATCTATAAATTCAAATAAATGCACTTCTAAAATATAATATTTCATAGAGTATGTAATAAAAACAGATTTGATATTGTAGATGGTTGTGCATTTTTTATTAATTAGGTCAAATTTAGATAAATTTGACGATAAAACCAAAATAAAATATAATTTAGAATGGAGAATGTACAGTGTACGTGTACCTTCATGGTGCTGCATTTTATTAGAATTCAGAAGTACACTATTGTGCTAACTTGCGCTTCTCATCAGCAGATGTGCTTTTATACTTTGATATGATTGAGAATTTGAGATCATGCCTGTTGCAATTTTGCACCTCTTCGATAGTTTATGGATGAAATTGAGTCTCGAGTAATAGTTGAGGGACCAAAATGGCCATTGTGCCTTTTTTTAATTAATAAAGAACTGGCTGGAGATCTGCAGATCTGATGCGTTTCATCTCTTTGCCATTCATTCACTATCTGTGAACTGCTTTATATTGTACCACTAGGAAATCCGGAAAATACAGTTCAGCGTATCGTTACTGCCGGCCGTGGCTAGGAAACACTGGTTCAGCTCAGGACTTAATTTTATACAAGGCTTTTTGTTTAGCCATTCTAATCCGGTCCAATCCATATTTATTGGAGTGACAAACAAGTTAATTTTTCATCCTTATTATCCACCAAAATACATTGGATTGTAGTCTAATCCACCCCCAATCCAAATATAGAGGGTGAAAAACAGTTAATTTCCTTCTCAAATCTCCATAGGAAAGCAACTAAACAAGCCTGAGATGAAAAATGAAATCAAGCGCCGAGACATCTTATACTGGAATGCTTGGTTCGTAACACAATACATTGGAACACATTCGATTACTGAAATATAACTTGGGGACGACATCAGCATGCTTCGTTATAATCAGGCATGTTAAAACTACCCATGAATGAAGCTCTCGCTAGCTGGCCTCGCTATTGCGTGCGCCAGGAGTACCGTAGTGAGCAGCCGTGCCAACTCATTTGGTGTACCAAAATGGGTAGTTCTAAAGATTTAGTTTGGGGCATGTTATTATTAAAATATTAGCATTTCTTATTTGATGCGTGTGTATTCATCTTAATCCACATGTGTCGAAGTGGATTGTAGTGGAATTAAACTAAATTCTATTATATTCCACTTGAACACATGTTGATTGAGATGAATACGCATGCATCCAAATAAGGTCTAAGTAAATTCCTTGTTGACCCTTGTGGTTCGATAGATATACTAAGGCTAATTTTTAAATGGCTAATTAGCCCCTCATTAAACAAGGAGGCTTTTATACGTATGACATTAAAAAAGTTTGTAATTACATATAAGTCATTAAAAAAGTTGACCGCATACGAGTGTCATCGTTCTGAACTTCTTTGTTCTCCACGTCATTCCGTCGATGTTCTGTTCGTTTTTCACCGTTACCTGTGGGCCCGGTCAATATAAAGGTCCAGAATACCATTCTCCGCACCGCTCCCAGAGGCCTTTCTCCACACTGCATCTGCTACGTCGTGCAAGGCACGGCCACGGGGGCCACAAGTCCTGGCGGTGCGCACGGCGGTGCGAGGACAGTCCCTGGCACCAGCGCGCCCGGTGCGTGGAGCAGTGCAGGGAGGAGGAGCGAGAGAAGCAGCAGGAGGAACGGGGCGGCAGGCACGAGCACGAGCACGACCGCCGTGGCGACCGGCGCGGCGAGGGCTCGTCGGGAGACGAGCGTGAGCAGGAGCAGGGCCGGCGGCCGTACGTGTTCGACCGGCGCAGCTTCCGCCGCGTCGTCCGGAGCGAGCAGGGGTCCGTGAGGGCGCTCCAGCCGTTCCACGAGGCGTCCAAGCTCCTCCGCGGCATCCGGAACTACCGCGTGGCGGTCCTGGAGGCGAACCCGCGCTCGTTCGTCGTGCCCAGCCACACCGACGCGCACTGCATCTGCTACGTCGTGCAAGGTACGCCGGTGACCGTGATCGAGGACGCCGTCGTGTACGTTTGTTGTTGTGCTTAGCTGATCGACTGGATTTCATTGGTTGCTAGGCGAGGGAGTGGTGACGACGATCGAGAACGGCGAGAGGCGGTCGTACACCATCAAGGAAGGCCACATCTTCGTGGCGCCGGCCGGGGCCATCACCTACCTGGCCAACACCGACGGCCGGAAGAAACTGGTCATCGCCAAGATCCTCCACACCATATCCGTGCCTGGCGAGTTCCAGGTAATTATTATTAAGCTCTAAACAAGACATCATGGATTGTTGCATAACCCAATCGACTGACATGTCATTTTTTTTGGCAGTTCTTCTTCGGCCCCGGCGGGAGGAACCCGGAATCGTTCCTGTCGAGCTTCAGCAAGAGCATCCAGAGAGCTGCTTACAAGGTATGTAGTACACATGACATACATGTCTTACATGTTTAGCAACGAAGTGTCGACCTGTGTGTGTGCTCACTGCTCACATCGCGTTCATGTCGCAGACCTCAAGCGACCGGCTGGAGAGGCTGTTCGGGAAGCGCGGGCAGGACAAGGGGTCATCGTGCGCGCCACGGAGGAGCAGATCCGCGAGCTGCAGCGCTGTAATGTCGAGATGGCGGACTAGAGGGGGTGAATAGTCTTTTTTAAAATTAATCGTGTCGGCTAACCGATATAAATACGGAATTAAAATAATCGGTCTAGTCAAGACTATACCCCTCTATATATGTTCACTAGCACCTTGCAAAGATACTAATAAAGCAACTAAGGTGCCGGGCTAGCTAGAGCTCTCCTAAACAATTCTAGGAGCAAGGTTACACAAACCTATGCCACTAGTACTTTAAGTAACAAGGGATTTCCTACACATGCTAGAAAGCAAAAGCACAAAGCTAACTAAGCTCACTAGCAATGCTCAATAACAAGACAACCAACGCCTAATTAGAGAACGCAAATACTTAGCTACACAAACTAAGCAATGTGACTAACAAGGTTACTAAAACCAAATTAGCCACGCAAGGGAGCTACTTCTATGCTACACAAGCAAGAAGGTAATTAGCTAGCTACACAAGCTATCTAATTACAAGAGCAACTACACAAGCTTAAGATATATATATATATAAGTAATTGCAAGCTTGTGTAATGGAGATGCAAACCAACGGAAAGAACAAGGTTGACACGATGATTTTTCTCCTGAGGTTCACGTGTTTGCCAACACGCTAGTCTCCGTTGTGTCGACCGCTCACTTGGTGGTTCGGCGGCTAATTAGCATCACCCGCTAAGCCCGCACGTCGGGCACCGCAAGAACCTACCCCTTGAGTGAGGGTAGCTCAATGACACGCTTTACTAAAGTTGCTCTTCGCGACTTTCGTGGGGCGAGCACAAGTACCCCTCACAAGCACTTCTCCGGAGCGCCGCACAAGCTTCTTGCGGGCTTCGACGGAGACCACCACCAAGCCGTCTAGGAGGTGGCAACCTCCAAGAGTAACAAGCACCACCGGCTTGCAACACGACCACCTAGTGCCACTCGATGCAACCTCACGATGCAATCGCACTAGAATCGCTCACTCACACAATCGAATGATCACTATCAAGTATATGTGTGATGGAGGGCTCCCAAGCACTCACAAGCATGGACACTAAGTCCCCTTAGGTGCTCAGCACCAGCCATGGCCGAGGGCCACTTCTATTTATAGCCCCAAGGGCTAAACTAGCCGTTACCCCTTCACTGGGCAACGGTCGGGCCGACCGGATGCTCCGGTCGTGTTGACCGGACGCTGGACCTCAGCGTCCGGTCGCCCGCAGACGGCCACGTGTCCCGGTTCCAACGGTCACTTGACTTGACCGGACGCAGCAGCTTTCAACTGACCGGACGCTGAACCCCCAGCGTCCGGTCATTTCCAGTAAGGTACCGACCTCGACCGGACGTGTCTAGTCACACTTGATCAGACGCAGCCAGCGTCCGGTCACACTCCAGCTTCTGCGTCATCGTACGTCAGCCTGACCGGACGCAGCCTGCCAGCGTCCGGTGCATTCAGATCCAGCGTCCGGTCAGTTGACCGACGCCAGCATCTTCGCGACTAACTCGTTTTCACTTCTAACTTCATCACCCTTGCTCCAATGTGCTAACCACAAGAACTTGCATCCGGCGCAATAGAAAATAGGCATTCTATTTTCCCGAAAGCGCCGAATCCCACCTCGCAAGCTCGGCGGGAGGGAGAGAGGGACCCAAACCCATCTCACCCCTGCAAACACCACCTCCTTTGTAAATATGCCAACACCACCAAGTGTACACCACCATGTGTATGTGTGTTAGCATTTTCACAATCATTTCCCAAAGGATGTTAGCCACTCAACTTGCCACGCCACTCGATCATAGCGACAATGCAAAGTTAGATCACTCGAGTGGCACTAGATGACCGATATGCAAACAAGTTTGTCCCTCTTGATAGTACGACCATCTATCCTAAACCCGGTCATAAACTTCTCTACACACCTATGACCGGTGAAATGAAATGCCCTAGGTTATACCTTTGCCTTGCGCATTCCATTCCATCTCCTTCAATGTCGATGCAACACATGCACCAACACGATCAACAATGATATGATTCACTTCATATCATCACATGATTATATTGGTTCATCGATCTTGACTCTACTTGCTCTTCACCGTTGCTATCGTCCATCGGCGCCAAGTCTTGCTCAAGCTTCACCGCCACGCGGTCCATCACTCCAAAGCCTTTGACTTGCCCTTCACGCTTGCAACCGGTCCATCAAGCCAAGTCTTGTCTTGATCTTCTCCACCTTGATCACATGACTCAATGTCATGTCTCATGTGCAATAAGCTCCTTCATCATCACATGTGTGAGCTTTGCAACATCTCCAAGCCATTTTCACCTCCATGGCATATGTTGCTCATACACATGTACCTGTGGACTAATCACCTATGTATCTCACATAAACACAATTAGTCCATCTAGGTTGTCACTCAATTACCAAAACCAACAAAGACCTTTCAAGCGCCACGCCTCGGAGGGCGACCACGGCCCGCACTGGTCCCTGCCGCCGTTCGGCAAGTCGCACGGCCCCTACAGCCTCCTGGACCAGCGGCCCAGCATCGGCAACCAGCATGGGCAGCTCTACGAGGCCGACGCGCGCAGCTTCCACGACCTCGCCGACCACGACGTCAGCGTCTCCTTCACCAACATCACCGCGGCGCGTGCGCCCCCTCTAAATTAACTGTTGCTAGGCTAGCTTGTGCTTGCGATTTTGATGAGCACTTCGTTACAGGGGTCCATGAGTAGGGCGGCGAGCGCGGCAAGGGCAGGCGGAGGAGCGAAGAAGAAGAACAATCCAAGGAGGAGGAGGAAGCTGGGCTGTTAGATAAGTTGATGCAGATCATGTAATCTTTCATTCACATTCAGTTGGTGTCTAGGGGTGAGTCGGTTAGGATCGGCCGTGGTTGGAGTCGTGCCTGGCTACGACACGGTCCGGTGGAGTTTGTCATGTTCACGCCATGACGTGCCGGGCGCACGGGACATGCATCGGGGAAACGGTGTTTGTACCCGATACGGCATGGCGTGGGATGAGGTCATGTTCCTCAGGTGTCTTATATAAACATGAACAAAGGACTCAAAGGGTTGTTACGTTGGCAGTACCTAATTCTCATCTTCCTCGCAAGCTTTACATCTGTCTCAGCGCTAGCTCTCGCCGCGGTCACCGCGCCGTCGTCGGTGTTCGCGTTCCAGGCCGCGCAGCTGCGTCGAGTTCCAACAAGTGGTATCGGAGCCGTAAGGTTGCCGGAGGAGACGTGTTCGGTGGAGTAGAAAGGCAGGAGGAGCAGCCGGGCGAGCTAGATCGTTGTGTTCAAGCAGATCAAGCCGTGAACACTTGCCGTCGTGATGGGCACCAACAACGAGAAGGAGAAGGAGCTGATGGAGCGGGCATGGAATCAGGCTTCAGGAAATTTGGTATGGCCGATGCTTTCCCGATCCAATTACCAAGAGTGGTCGGCTCATGTGCAATGCAATCTCGAAGCCATGTTCCTGTGGGACGCAGTTGAATCTGACAAGGTCGAGCGACGTCGTGATCGGCTCGCTCTGGGCGCCATGATCCGTGGTGTTCCCCCCGAGATGCACTCGATGTTGCTGAACAAAAAGTCAGCCAAGGAGGCCTGGGAGGCGATCAAGTCAATGCGTTTGGGTGCATATAGGGTTAAGGAGGTGAATGCGCAGAAACTTCTAGCCGAGTTTGAAGCAATCTCTTTCAAATCTGGTGAAACAATTGAAGACTTCACTGTGAGAATTGGTAAGATTGCGACCAATCTCAAGGGCCTAGGGGAGACGAGTGTCGATGATGCTCGTGTCATGAAAAAGTTCCTCAGAGTCGTGCCACCGAGATATAATCAAGTGGCAGTTACAACTGAGATGTTCTATGATTTAAAAACCTTGTCTGTGGAAGAACTCGTTGGACGTCTGCGTGCTGCAGAAGATCGATTCGAGCCCACGGTGGAGGAGGTCACCAATAAGCAGGGACAACTCATGATGACAGAGGATGATTGGGCCGCGAAGCACAAAGCGAGGATGATGACAGATTCGTCCTCAACCGGGGCAGTGTGGTGGTGGCTATGGCCACCATCAGAAGAAGAACAAGAACGGGGTGCGTGGTGCAGGAGGCGGTGGTAACCATGACTCATGTGACTCGGGAGGCAAGGAGGCCAACAACACCGGTGCACCACGCCGCAAAGGCTGCTGTAATAAGTGCAAGGTCTATGGCCATTAGGCCAGGGAGTGCAAGAAGTACCCGCGGGATCAGGCAGAGGCAACTCATCATGCCAATACTGATACCGATCCACAACCTGCTCTTCTAGTGGCACAAGTTTGCAACGTGGTCAGAACTGCAGGAGTTGCAGTAGCACCCTGTGTGTTTCTAAATCAGGAACGGGTCAATCCATCCAAGTATGAAGAAGGCTCATGGGTTTTGGATACAGGAGCTACAAACCACATGACTGGCTGTAGAGCTTCATTGTCCAATTTGGATGAATCTATGCGAGGGGCCATGAGGTTTAGAGATGGGTCCAAGGTTGAGATTTGCGGGATCGGGGCTGTGACGATCGCCGACAAGAACCAAGAACACAGGGTGCTATCTGAGGTATATTGCATACCATCTTTGAAGTGTAATATCGTGAGCCTAGGCCAGCTAGAAGAAGGCAGGTGTCGTGTCGAAATCGACAATGGCGTCATGGTGGTCATGGAGCGTCAGAACACAGGAAGCAAGAGCCGGAGTGTGCTCATTCGAGCAGAACGTAGGAACCGGCTGTACATAATGCAGGTGAAGACCACGTCACCTGCTTGCCTACTGTCGAAGATGGACTACATCTCATGGTTGTGGCATGCCAGATACGGGCATCTAAACTTCAGAGACCTTCGTGAGCTAGCAGCAAGGGAGATGGTTGAAGGCATGCCGGTGGTGAAGACCGTCGAGCAGGTTTGCGATGGATGTGCGCTTGGAAAGCAGCACAGGACTCTGTTTCCTAGGGCCTCGGCGTATCGTGCATCAGGTTGTCTGGAGTTGGTGCATGCAGATCTTTGTGGCCATGTCACGCTGCCCACCCCAGGAGGGAAGCTGTACTTCCTACTCATTGTGGACGACCACAATTATTACATGTGGCTTGAGCTAATGGCCACGAAGGGCGAAGCCCTCAGACACTTCAAGAGATTCAAGGCTGCAGCAGAACTTGAGTTGAGTTGCAAACTGAAAGCTTTCAGGTCAAATCGTGGAGGCGAGTTCAATTCGGGTGCGTTTGTGGAATTTTGTTAGGAACATGGCATCAAGCACAACACCACAACAACATATACGCCGCAACAGAATGGGGTTGTCGAGAGGCGCAACCAAACGGTGGTTGAGATGGCACGGTGCTTACTCAAGAGCATGGGCGTCCCGGCTTGGTTCTAGGGAGAAGCAGTCAAGACGGCGGTATACTTGCTTAATCGCGCACCGACCAAGAGTCTGAGTGACCAGACGCCGTTTGAAGCATGGTTTGGGAGAAAGCCAGGTGTCAAACATCTCAGAACATTTGGATGCAAGGCATATGTCAAGCGTGTTGGTCTAGGGATCAGTAAGTTGTCTGACCGATCGGTGCCAGGAGTTTTCCTTGGTTACGAACCAGGAACTAAAGGGTATCGCATCTATGATCCCATGAAGGATAAGCTTATGATCAGTCGTGATGTGATTTTTGATGAGGTGTCTTGGAATTGGGAGGGGACAGGAACAGCAGGCAGGCCGCATGGTGGTGATGCAGCAGCAACAGAGCCTGAACCTAAAATGTTTCAGGTTCAGTGTCTTGAAAACACTGTTCACGGTCCGACGATAGGTGCCGATGCAGATGATGGCCCCGTTTATGAACCTGGAGATTGGGAACCAGTTTCGCCTGTAGTTTCAATTCCATCCACATGAAGTGTGGCATCTCCACACACACCACCACATCAACAGATCCAATGGGCTACTCCGCCTTCGCATGACAATGATTTTTCAGATGGTGCTCCACTCAGATACAGAACCATCCCCAACTTACTTGGCACAACTGATGAGGTGCAGGACTTCGAGTATAGCTGCATTTGCTTGGTTGCTGCAGAAGAGCCGAAGTCGATTCAGGAGGCACTGTCAGAGCAGTGTTGGAGGAAGGCAATGGAGGAGGAGATGAAGGCCATTGAGGATAATAAGACATGGGTTTCTTGTGATCTTCCACCCAAGCAGAAGGCCATCAGCCTCAAGTGGGTATTTAAAGTCAAGAAGGACCCAGAAGGCAAAATTGTCAAGTACAAGGCACGTTTAGTGGCTAAAGGCTATGCTCAGCATCAGGGAATTGACTTTGATGAAGTTTATGCCCCTGTTGTCAGAATAGAGACTGTAAGGGTTTTGCTTGCACTAGCAGCACACGGTGGTTGGGAGGTTCACCATATGGACGTCAAGTCTGCTTTTTAAAATGGTGATCTGTCAGAGACAGTGTTTGTGCAGCAGCCTCCAGGTTTCATCATTGGCGATTCACATAAGGTGTTGAAGTTGGAAAAGGCTCTGTATGGTCTTAGACAGGCACCTCGAGCATGGAATGCTAAGTTAGACAAGGAGTTGGTTGCTCTCGGTTTTGTGAGAAGCAAGTTAGAGCATGCTGTTTACAAGAGGAGCAACAGTAAATCCTTTCTCATTGTTGGAGTTTATGTTGATGATCTTATAATCTCTGGACCTTCAGTTGGAGATATTCTAAAGTTCAAGGCAGAGATGAGAAGGAAATTTAGCATGAGTGATTTGGGACTCCTTAGTTACTATCTGGGTATTGAAGTTAAGCAAGGAGGTGGTGAAATCACTCTGAGCCAAAGTGCATATGCTCTGAAGATTTTAGAGAATGCCAACATGAAGAATTGCAACTCATGTGATACTCCAATGGAGTGCAGGCTCAAACTCTGCAAGTTGAAAGGAGAAGATGCAGTAGACCCAACAGCCTACAGGAGTCTGATCGACAGTCTAAGATATATTGTAAACACAAGACCAGACTTGGCCTATGCTGTTGGGGTGGTAAGCAAATACATGGAGGCGCCAGGAAAGAAGCACTGGCTTGCTGTTAAGCGTATTCTGAGATACCTAAAGGGAACTGTTGGGTATGGATGCATATACACAAGAGGAGGAGAGCTTCAGCCGATGTTGTTGGGATATAGCGATAGTGATTATGCTAGGGATGTAGAAGACCGCAGAAGTACATCTGGTGCTGTCTATTTTCTCGGCAAGAGTTTAGTGACATGGTCGTCACAGAAGCAGAAGATCGTCGCACTCTCATCTTGTGAAGCAGAATACGTCGCGGCAGCAGCAGCAGCGTGCCAAGGAATCTGGCTAAGCCGACTCATAGCTGACATGTTGGGAACGAAAGAGGCGACGGTGAAGCTACTCATGGACAATATGTCTACAATTGCTCTCAGCAGGAATCCGGTGCACCACGAACGAAGTAAACACATCGATACAAAGTATCACTTTCTTCGTGAATGCATAGAGGATGGAAAGGTGGAGGTGGATCACATTGGGACAGCAGATCAATTGGCTGACATCTTCACCAAATCGCTGGGACGAGTTAAGTTCATAGAACTGAGGAGTGCTTTAGGAGTTGTAGAAGGGCATCAAGCTTAGGTGGTGATTTGTTAGATAAGTTGATGCAGATCATGTAACCTTTCATTCACATTTAGTTGGTGTCTAGGGGTGAGTCGGTTAGGATCGGCCGTGGTTGGAGTCGTGCCTGGCTACGACACGGTCCGGTGGAGTTTGTCATGTTCACGCCATGACGTGCCGGGCGCACGGGACATGCATCGGGGAAACGGTGTTTGTACCCGATACGGCATGGCGTGGGATGAGGTCGTGTTCCTCAGGTGTCTTATATAAACATGAACAAAGGACTCAAAGGGTCATTACGTTGGCGATTTAAATTCTCATCTTCCTCGCAAGCTTTACATCTGTCTCGGCGCTAGCTCTCGCCATGATCACCGCTACCGTCGTCGATGTTCGCGTTCCGAGCGCGCAATGTGCGTCGAGTTCCAACATGGGCGGGGTACCACACCATCCGGCGCGGTCGCCGCCGCACGGCACGGCGTTAAATGGTGCCCTTGGGCCACCCGTTCGTCATGCGGTGGCGTCCGGACAACAACAACCTCGAGCTCGTGTGCTTCGAGATCCACGCCGAGAAGAACGAGAAGGTGTTCTGGCGGCCGCCGACAACGTGCTCAAGAAGCTGGACCGCGTGGGCAATCTTGCCGTCGTTTGCGCCCGACGTTAGCGCGACGGAGGGGACGGCGGCGGCATGAGCTCGAAAGCCTTGAAGCTCACGCCCGCCGCGACGCGCGAGCGCGGCGTGCGCGTGCGAGCTCGACAGAAGCGGATCTGCCGGCTGCAAGCGTGAGCGCGAGATCCGCCAGGCGCGGACGCGAGCGCGAGCGTGAGCTCTGCCGGGCGCGGGTGTGAGCTCCATCGGCCTCGGACGCGAGCACGAGCGGTGTGGAGAAAGGCCTTTGCGAGCGGTGTGGAGAAGGGTATTTCCGGTGCACGTGTAATGTGTGAAAAACGAATAGAACATTGATGGAATGGCTTAAAGAGCAAATAAGTTCAGAACAAATGGTACTCGTATGCAATCAACTTTTTTAATAATTTATATGTAATTATAATTTTTTTTAATGATATACATGTAAAAGCCTGTTAAACAAACCCTTATCCTGAATTTCTATCAGGTATCAGGTAGTTCAAATCCGACGTCATTTTCCAAGACTCGCCCAACCCTGCCGACACTGGACGAATGGCACGAACGTATACTCTCTGCATGATTTAAGACATTCAAGGAAGGTAGACAGAGAGGCCCAGTTATTTGTCTCGCATGAAGGCATCCGATGCGGGCGCCACGCAGTGGGCAGGGGTGCACTGGTCGTTTGATCATATCAGCTATACTTATTAATTATGATATAGTATTTTTTTTACGATAAAACAGCATCGTTCAACTTATAAGCTAAAAAAACGATGAAGTGAACAGTTGGTGATCAAGGAGAGTGTTAATTCCGTTGGGGAAACCTTAAGGCCCCGTTCGGCTTACCTCATATTCGATTTATTCGGCTTGTTTTTTCAGCCGAAACCGTATTTTTCTTCCACATCAATTCAGCCAAAACAGCGTTTTCTAGCCTTCACACCAGCAAACAAGCCTAAGAGTCAAAGACCCTTCTGGGTGTGTTCGGCTGGCTGGCTGGCTGGCTGCCGGCTGACCAACCACCTTATAAAATCACTGTTTATATCAGAACAATATTTTTCTCTCACAACAATTAGCTGAAACAGTATTTTTGCCCAACATGCCCACGTTGTCCCTGTCCCTGCCTCCCTGGCCTGCTGCGCGAGTGGCCAACTGGCCATGCGTTGTCAGCGTGCTGTGTGTAGGCCAGTGGCGATGGAGTAACCGCCTTGATTTGACAGGCAGATGAATGATGGATGCGTTACGCCGTTACGCGTGGCTGTTTTAACGCTGGCTGATAAGCCATGCAATTGCAAATGCAAGCAGAGGGAGCCACAGCCACGTAGGTTTGGGGCATCCACGTCCAACGGTCCAAGAGAACGGGAAATCACACCACGGGCACCCCTGGCCCGCACGTCAGCGTCACGAACCACGCGTGAACTTCACCACGGGCCAGTGGAGAAGATCCACCACCCTCACACACACGCACACACGCCCCACGGATTATTGTTAACCCCACCTTGGATCGCGGCCGCCGTGCGCGTGAGCAGCGACGTGCCGACAGCCGAAGCGCCCGAGCCATCTTCCCCGCCCCCGAGGCTCCCAAACCCATTCGATTCCTCCGCCCCGCCGGCCGAATCAAATTTCTCCGCCGCCGCCGCCGCCCGGAGCGCCGACCCCCGAGCGTTCCATGGACTCGCCTTCCGCATCGAGGTAGTATTAGCAAGCCTCGCCGCGTCGCGCCACGCCGCACTGCCCCGCCGGCCCGCCCCGACGCCTGCCTCGCTGGTTCGTCTCGGTCCCCCACCCTCAGCGTTTGGTGTGATCCGGGTTTCTCCGTCGTTCGGGTCTCGACCTCGGTTCTAGCGTAGAGCCCGCGGTCCGAATTCGTGGGGGTATTTCTCTGGAAGTTGCTTGCGTTTGCGTAGGTTTCACTTGGTTTTCTCGCGCTGGTGATTTCGATCCGCGTCGCCTCTCGAGAACAAAGCATAGGAGGAACAGTCCATGAAACCTGTAATTCGTTGGGTATATTTCGCTGCTTTTTTCTGTTTTGAAAATTCGGATGGGTCGATGGGATTACCAACCCTGTGGTTTGTATGTTAAGCAGTGCACTTCATTTTTTTGGTTTTCAGAGGTACTATAACTTGATTCTTAACTCAGTGGATCAACCATATTTATCCAGGATAAGAATGATCAAATGTATGGGCTACCACTGCTCGTTGTCCATTCAAACGATTTTTTCCCTTAGCAGTACGAATCTTCTGTTTGAGGAGTGCATGACCTGTAATTCTTGAATTCACAACCCACCTAAAAGAATATTGTAATCCTGATTCATGTTTCCGTTCCTTCAGCTGGACTTTACCCTTTTTCTCCTGAAACCTACTCGCATTTTGTTTGAGCCTAAAAATACTTCTTTCAATTATATTGGTTTTTTCGCCTGAACACACACTCACATCTTTGTTCCACCAGACCAACACTATTGATTTGATCCAATCTAAAATCTCTCCCAAAAGCAAAGATTAAAGCACCAACCCAATCCGCAAGCAAGGGCAACTATTAAAGACACCGTGTGCCACCCTTGATTTTCTTTTCCTCCACTTTTCGTTTCCACTTTTCGTCTACTCAACTAATATTTAATAGCATACAGTTACGTGGTGCCACTACACATTATTCTAAAACCCAGCATGATCGGCTTGAAAGTTACAAG